CCTCCATCTACTGACTGTGCCCTCCGTCTACTGACTGTCCCCTCCATCTACTAACTGTACACACTATGTACTGACTGTCCCCTCTGTCTCCTGACTGTCCCCTCTGTCTCCTGACTGTCCCCTCTGTCTCCTGACTGTCCCCTCCCTCCTGACTGTCCCCTCTGTCTCCTGACTGTCCCCCTGTCTCCTGACTGTCCCCTCTGTCTCCTGACTGTCCCCTGACTGTCCCCTCTGTCTCCTGACTGTCCCCTCTGTCTCCTGACTGTCCCCCTCTGTCTCCTGACTGTCCCCTCTGTCTCCTGACTGTCCCCTCTGTCTCCTGACTGTCCCCCCTGTCTCCTGACTGTCCCCTCTGTCTCCTGACTGTCCCCCCCTCTGTCTCCTGACTGTCCCCTCTGTCTCCTGACTGTCCCCTCTGTCTCTACTGACTGTCCCCTCTGTCTCCTGACTGTCCCCTCTGTCTCCTGACTGTCCCCTCTGTCTCCTGACTGTCCCCTCTGTCTCCTGACTGTCCCCTCTGTCTCCTGACTGTCCCCTCTGTCTCCTGACTGTCCCCTCTGTCTCCTGACTGTCCCCCCTGTCTCCTGACTGTCCCCTCTGTCTCATACTGACTGTCCCCTCTGTCTCCTGACTGTCCCCTCTGTCTCCTGACTGTCCCCTCTGTCTCCTGACTGTCCCCTCTGTCTCCTGACTGTCCCCTCTGTCTCCTGACTGTCCCCTCTGTCTCCTGACTGTCCCCTCTGTCTCCTGACTGTCCCCTCTGTCTCCTGACTGTCCCCTCTGTCTCCTGACTGTCCCCTCTGTCTCCTGACTGTCCCCTCTGTCTCCTGACTGTCCCCTCTGTCTCCTGACTGTCCCCTCTGTCTCCTGACTGTCCCCTCTGTCTCCTGACTGTCCCCTCTGTCTCCTGACTGTCCCCTCTGTCTCCTGACTGTAACCTCTGTCTCCTGACTGTCCCCTCCGTCTAATGACTGTACTTACATCTGCTGATTGTAATCAACTTATCTGACTGTGCTCTACAGTCATATATGACTGTACAGCTCATATATATGTAATTTCCATATACTGACTGTACACATATACTGATTGTATTCTCCATATACTGGCTGTACACACCATATAATGACTGTAAATACCATATAATGACTATAACCTCCATCTACTGACTGGACTTGCCATCTGACTGTACTTACATCTGCTGACTGTAATCAACATATCTGACTGTACTCTCCATTTACTGATTATACACACCATATACTGATTTTACTCTACATATACTGACTGTAACCTCCATACACTGACTGTACACACTGTATACTGACTTTAATCGCCATATACTGAGTGTACACACATACTGATTGTATTCTCCATATACTGGCTATACACAACGTATAATGACTGTACACATGTCTACTGACTGTACTCTCCGTATACTGACTCACGACTGTAATCGCCATATACTGACTGTACCCTCCATATACTGACTGTAATCGCCATATACTGACTACACACCGTATACTGACTGGAATTTCCATATACTAAGTGTACACATCATATACTGATTGTATTCTCCATATACTGGCTGTAAACTTCATATGCTGACTGTACATACCGTATAATGACTGTAATCTCCATATACTGACACATTATATACCGATTGTACTGTCAATATACTGGCTGTAAGTTTCATATACTGACTGTACGCACTGTATACTGACTGTGCACGGCTCATGTGATTATATACCACATCACAAGTTATATGCTTTATTTCTGCGCAATGACTTGTATAGAACAACCGCCCCTTCAGCTCTGAGCTTCTAATGGTGTGAATAGTACCGTATATTTAACTGTGCATTTTTACTTGTTACCCTTTTTGTGTGGGTGGTGGTTTTCTTTTTGTTTTAATGACAGTGTACAGTATATGAACTGAGATAATCCCTCATAATGAGCACAGCAGGTGAACAGACCCGGGAACTCAGCACAGAGATGGTGGAAACCCCTCATAATGGGAACAGCAAGTGTACAGACCCGGGAACTCAGCACAGGGATGGTGGGAAGTCCTCCTATTGGGAACAGCAGGTGTACAGACCCGGGAACTCAGCGCAGAGATGGTGGGAACCCCTCTTAATGGGCACAGCCGGTGTACAGATCTGGGGACTCCGCACAGGGATGGAGGGAACCCCTCATATTGGGAACAGCAGGTGTACAGACCTGGGAACTCAGCACAGGGATGGTGGGAACCCCTAATAATGGGCACAGCGGGTGTACAGACCTGGGGACTCAGCACAGGGATGGTTGGAACCCCTTATAATGGGAACAGCAGGTGTGCCCCGGGAACTTAGCACAGGGATGGTGGGAACCTCTCATAATGCAGCAGGTGTACAGATCCAAGAACTTAGCACAGGGATGGTGGAAACCCCTCATAATGGGCACACCAGTTGTTCAGATCTGGGAACAGAGCACCTCCGCAATGACCCTCTGAATGCATTTGTGACGGCATATTGTACAGCAACTGACGCGGGAATGGGGCGGGAATGGATAATTCTGTCATTGGGGACAAAGTCTGTGTGGTGGGGGGGGCAATGAGATTCACAGACATTGTTCAGTAACCTGAGTTTTGTTGCCTTTGCAGTGGATGAGTGATCGTCAAGCCGTGGCGCAGCAGGGAGAGTATGCAGGACGCAGAGGGCCCAGGGGATGGACCCTCAGATGTCCCTGTCTATGGTGAGCATAGTATACTTCAGAAGTCCATTCGCTGGCTCTTGGGGGGAGTTATGCAAATATTAACCACTTAAGGACTAGGCTTCTTCTGGCACTTTTTGTTCACATGTAACAATCTTTTTTTTCATGTCTGCCAGCAGATGTCCTCCAGCCAGGAAATGAGGCGGGCTCTATCTGACTCTCTGCAGCTTTTAATGCACATTGTGAGAAACTTACAGTGTGCAGTGAAATCAGAGTAAGTAATTTCAGTCCAGGAGAGAGGAGTGTGTGCAGCTGCACAAGACTGAGGGGAAGGCTGGAGGGCAGATTTAACCAATTCAATACCGGCACTTTTACACCTTCCTGCCCAGGCCAGTTTTCAGGTTTCAGCGCTCTCACAATTTGAATGACAATTGCGCGGTCATACAAACATGTACCCAAACTAAAATTTTATAATTTTCTTCACACAACTAGAGCTTTTTTTTGGTGGTATTTAATCACCGCTGGGGGTTTTTATTTTTTGCTAAATTAACAAAAAAAGACCAAAGATTTTGAAAAAAAAAAAGTTTTTCTTTGTTTCTGTTATAAAAGTTTGCAAATAAATAATTGTTCTTCATAAATTTAGGCCGAGATGTATTCTGCTACATGTCTTTGGTGAAAATAACCCAAATTAGGATGTATTTCTTAGTTTGTAGGAAAGTTATAGAGTTCACAAACTATGGGATAGATCTGAATATTGATCAATCCTGAAGTACTGACAGCCAATCTAATTTCTTGAGGTCCAAGAATGTCAGGACAGGTACAGATATCCCCCAAATGTCAGGACAGTACAGATATCCCCCAAATGTCAGGACAGTACAGATATCCCCCAAATGTCAGGACAGTACAGATATCCCCCAAATGTCAGGACAGTACAGATTTCCCCCAAATGTCAGGACAGTACAGATCTCCCCCAAATGTCAGGACAGTACAGATCTCCCCCAAATGTCAGGACAGTACAGATCTCCCCCAAATGTCAGGACAGTACAGATCTCCCCCAAATGTCAGGACAGTACAGTACAGATCCCCCCAAATGTCAGGACAGTACAGATATCCCCCAAATGACCCCTTTTTGCAGAGTAGACAGTCCGATGTACTTCATAAGAGGCATGGCGAGTTTTTTGAAGTTGTATCTTTTTTGTCATTTTTCGGAAAATGAAAAAATTAGTTTCACTGTTTTTTTTGGGTTTTTTTTTACATACTGTCACCAGTGCAGTACAGCGTCATCATATAACTGGCATGGCGGTGATCAGGGACACTGACTGGTGACAGTATGAAAAAAAAAAAAAAAAAAAAAATTATAATTTTTTTTTAAGATTTTTTTTTCATATTTCACTATGACCAAAGTAGTACAATGTTACCATAGTAACATTGTACTACTTTGGGGAAAAAAATCAGTATTTTTTTTTTTTTACACAATTTGCTTATAGCAAAGAATTACTTTGCTATAAGCAAGCATTTACCTGAATGAAATCGATTCATTCAGGGTTTGTTTTTTTTTTTTTTTTTTTTTGTGCTTAGCTGTGATTTGGCCACAGCTAATCACATGACATGTGCATGTGATTAGCTGTGACCATTCACAGCTAGGCAGTAGTATACAATGGATGGCATGAATGAAGCCATCCATTGTTTACAACTGTCATGTGACCTGCTGTGATTGGTCACAGCAGGTCACATGGTACCGCAACGGGGCCGATACTCAGATCTGTCATCAGCCGTGTCCGAGGTACACAGCCGGTGACGGATCGCACCACTGCGCCGCTCTGCAGGAGCGCAATCTGCGCATGTGCGGGAGGACGCCACATGGCGTCCACCCGAAACGCTGATGGCATTTGCCGCCCGCCATTCGGCCATAGGGCGGGTGGCAAATGGTTAAAGAGACCCTGTCACTCCTTTAAATGCCTCCCGCCTGCCATATAAGGTAATGACGGGTGGGGTGGTGGTTCTCTCGTTCTGGGAGAACGTTATATGACGTCCTCCTACTCTAACCGCGCGTGCGCACAGCGCAACTATCGGTGGTGCACTGTGTCCCTGGGACACAGCGGATCACCGATCAATGGAAAGAGCTGAAGATGTCGGCTCGGTCATGTGATGAGCTGTAAATAAGGAAATGCCGGTTATCGGCAGTCCTCTCCTCACGAGCTGTCACGCTGACAGCTCATTAGGAGAACTAGTAATTCCTCAGAGGGGACATGTACACTGATCATCATTGCACTAATGATGATGATCAGTGTGCCCTGAAGATCAGTGTAGCCCCATCAATGCCACCTGCCAATGCCCATCAATGCCACCTGCCAGTGCCCATCAGTGCCACATCAATGCCACATATCAGTGCCTACCAGTGCACATCAATGCCACATATCAGGGTCCATCTGAGCTGCCTTTCAGTGCCAGCCAGTGCTACCTATCAATGCCAGTCAATGCTGTCTATCAGTGCTGCCTATCAGTGTGCAATAGTGCCCGTCAGTGCTGCCTATCAGTGCCACCTAACAGTGCCAGTCTGTAATGGAACCGTCCCAGCCTGCGCTGAGTACTTCTATTAGGATACCACTTCCCTGTCCGAACACCCGACCACAGACAGCACAGCAGACCACACAAGACTAGACGACACCAGTCTTGAAGTGAACCAGGAAATAGACTAATTTATTTTAACACAGATACAAGATATATAAATTCAAGGGAACAACCCCCCCTCCCTGCATAATGACACAGGGCGGGGCAATCTACCTTTAGTAACAAGAGACACACCAACAGACAGTCCCATCGGGAGGGAGGGCTGCTGGAAACACCCCCCTACCAAGCCAATACACAAACACGTACATCCCATATTAGTTTGCTCCCAAGCATGGGATGCATCCACATGGCATTACACAATCAACAACCCCCCAGCCCAATATTAGGACAGATCACTTTGTACCCCTAACAGGCACAGGGTGACTTACACATAATAGGGATATAGGGAGTGGAGACAGGGGTCTCCCCACCTCTCCAAAGTGAGCTGGGTTCCATGGGCCCCCCACCCAAAGTGACTCCTGTCACACAGTCAGTGCCACCTATCAGTGCCAGTCGGTGCTGCCTATCAGTTCCACTTATCAGTGTCATATTTGAGTGCTGCCTTTCAGTGCCCATCAGTGATGCCTGTCAATGCACATCAGTGCCACCTACCAGTGCCTCCTCATCAGTGCCCATCTGTGCCGCCTATCAGTGCCCATCGCTGCAGCCTCATTAGTGCACATCAGTGAAGGAGAAAAATCACTTATTTACAATTTTTTTTTTCACAATTTTCAGTTGTTTTTTGTTTGTTTAGCACAAAATAAAAAACCCCAGAGGTGATTAAATACCCCCAAAAGAAAGCTCTATCTGTCTCAAAGAAATTATAAAAATTTCATCTGGGTACAGCATTGCATGACCGCGCAATTGTCATTCAAAGTGCGACAGTGCTTAAAGCTGAAAATTGGCCTGGGCAGGAAGGGGGTATAAGTGCCCGGTAGGCGAGGGGTTGATAAATATTGCACCTGCCGTTGTATGCACCTCTTCATCCCTTTGTGTCTTCCACCTTCCCTCTGTTCCAGTTTTACAGACTGCTTAGCGTTTGATACTTCTGGGGATGCCTGTGTCCTGCGACCCATACCATGATTCTTTCCTCCAGTCCCTAAATCAGCACAGGACTCATCAACACTGTAGGGGCCAGAGGATGGAGCCAAAGGGCATGGTGCTGGACATGCGTAGCTGACACTGCCGGAACAGGGAAGAGGTAGGAGAAATGGGCCTCTTGAGCAGTCAGTTCTTCTACAGAAGGGGTGGGCAACTGCGGCCCTCCAACTGTTGCGGAACTACAAGTCCCACCATTCTTATGCCTCTGGGAGTCATGATTTAAACTCAGTCTTGCAGTGCTTCATGGGACATGTAGTTCAACAGCAGCTGGAGGGCCGCAGTTGCCCACCCTGTACTACAAGGAGCTTCAAGTATGCTTTTTTTCTACTATCTACTATCGGGTTAGTTTTATCCTTTTTCGCACACATGTTAAAATCAGCATTATTTTTGCTGCTAGAAAATTACTTAGAACCCCCAAATACTGTATATATTTTCAGACATCTGAGGCCCTGGAGAATAGAATGGTGGCTATTGCAATTTTTTATACAACATGATATTTGCGCAGCCGTTTAGCATTTAAAAAAATATTTTTAGTGCACACAAACCAGATAGAATACCTTATTACGCTGATAAAATATATAAAAGGATATTGTTGTGAGTAAATAGATACCAAACTGTCAAGATTTTAAATTGCACACACACGGTACCTAAAGTCACCCATAAGTGACCCTTTAAAAGCCTTTACAGGTTGTCCTATTGGAGTAAATTGTGAATGATGGTGGTGTCATTTGTCCCCCCTTCATATTTACCCGCCACAGTGGTGTCCTCTGTCCCCCCCCCCCCCCACAGCGGTGTCCTCTGTCCCTCCTTCACTTTACCCCCCCACAGTGGTGTCCTCTGTCCCCCCCTTCACATTACCCCCCACAGCAGTGTCCTCTGTCCCCCCTTCTATTACCCCCCAGCGGTGTCCTCTGTCCCCCCTTCTATTACCCCCCAGCGGTGTCCTCTGTCCCCCCTTCTATTACCCCACAGTGGTGTCCTCTGTCCCCCCTTCTATTACCCCACAGTGGTGTCCTCTGTCCCCCCTTCTATTACCCCACAGCGGTGTCCTCTGTCCCCCCTTCTATTACCCACACAGCGGTTTCCTCTGTCCCCCCTTCTATTACCCCCCATAGCGGTGTCCTCTGTCCCCCCTTCACATTACCCCCCCACAGCGGTGTCCTCTGTCCCCCCTTCACATTACCCCCCACAGCGGTGTCCTCTGTCCCCCCTTCACATTACCCCCACACAGCGGTGTCCTCTGTCCCCCCTTCACATTACCCCCACAGCGGTGTCCTCTGTCCCCCCCTTCACATTACCCCCCCCCCCACAGCTGTGTCCTCTGTCCTCCCCTTCACATTACCCCCCCTTCACATTACCCCCCACAGCGGTGTCCTCTGTCCCCCCTTCTATTACCCCACAGCGGTTTCCTCTGTCCCTCCTTCTATTACCCACACAGCGGTGTCCTCTGCCCCCCCTTCACATCACCCCCCACAGCGGTGTCCTCTGCCCCCCCCCTTCACATTACCCCCCACAGCGGTATCCTCTGTCCCCCCTTCACATTACCCCCCACAGCGGTGTCCTCTGTCCCTCCTTAACATTACCCCCCACAGCGGTGTCCTCTGTCCCTCCTTAACATTACCCCCCACAGCGGTGCCTTCTGTCCCTCCTTAACATTACCCCCCCACAGTGGTGCCTTCTGTCCCTCCTTAACATTACCCCCCACAGCGGTGCCTTCTGTCCCTCCTTAACATTACCCCCCACAGTGGTGCCTTCTGTCCCTCCCCTTCACATTACCCCCACAGCGGTGTCCTCTGCCCCCCCCCACAGTGGTGTCCTCTGTCCCTCCCTTCACATTACTCCCTCTAAAGCAGTGTCCTCTGTCCCCCCTTTGCATACTGCCCCCACAGCGGTATCTCCTGTCCCCCCCCTTCACATTGCTGCCCCGACAGCGGTGTCCTCTGTCCCCCCTCCACATCACATTCCCCCACAGCAGTGTCCTTTGTCCCCCCCTTCACATTACCCCTTCTAAAGCAGTGTCCTCTGCCCCCACAGCGGTATCTTTTGTCCCCTCCTTCACATTACTGTCCCCACAGCGGTGTCCTCTGTCCCCCCCTTTACATTACTGTCCCCACAGCGGTGTCCTCTGTCCCCACCTTTACATTACTGTCCCCACACAGCGGTGTCCTCTGTCCCCCCCTTTACATTACTGTCCCCACAGCGGTGTCCTCTGTCCCTTCCTTCACATTACTGTCCTCCCAGCGGTGTCCTTGGCCCCCCTAAACATTATTGCCCCCACAGCGGTGTCCTTGGTCCCCCTTAACATTACTGCTCCCACAGTCCTCTGTATTCCCCCTTTACATGTGCCCCCCTTCACCTTACCCCCCCCCCACAGCAAATGTAATCTGTCCCCCGACTCACATTACCACCCCACAGCAGTGTTCTCTGTCCCCCCTTCACATTACTGACCCCATAGCAGTGTTCCCTTTCCCCCCCTTCACATTACCCCCCCCCCCCCCCCCCCCCCACAGCGGTGTCCTCTGTCTTCCCCCTTTACATGTGCCCCCCTTCACATTACCCCCCACTGATGTCCAATCGCATGTTTGTGTGATGACTCCTTCACATTGCAGCTCCCTTCCTTTTAAATCACAATCCCATTCTTTCATCAGATCCTCTGTCCCCCTCGGCATATCACAGTTCCCCCTTCACATCACCGTTTCCCCTTTACAGCAGTGTCCTCAGCCCACCTTCACATCATTCTGCAGAAGCTTGGGGGGAAAAAGCCAGCTTCTGAATGGAAGGACTTCTGCGGTCCAGATAAGACAGTAACTCGGTCCGGATTTGGACCTCATGCTGCCATTTAGTGATGCCATTTAGAGACAGTCTGGAAGTAGACAGGTCCTGATGTTCTCTTTGTACAGAAACAATACCTGCTATGGGTGCATCTTGTTTTAAAGATAAACTCCAGCAATACTTTTCTTTCTCCACACTTGCAGCAAATCCTGTCCTGTGTTGAAACAAAATACTCTCAATTCTCTGCAAAACTTACATCTCCATATGGTAACCCTTTAAAGATGAAGATGAGCCCCCTTCATTTTCTGTCTGATGGGCCTCAGTCGTTCCCTCTCTTGCTGATTCATGCAGTCTTTAACCTGCCTCTCACAGCTGTCAGTTATTTTTGCTCTTCATCATCTTTAGGGGATCTGGCGTCCATTATCGTTAGAGATGTAAAATTTCTGGAAGATTTTGAAGACATGAGAGAAAAAAAAAAAACGTTTTTTTTTTTTTTTTTTTACCTGTGTGCTTTTTTTTTCAAGAAAAATGGAAATTTTCAGAAAAAATTTAAAAGAAAATTCAGGGTGCAGTAGTTGTACCAATTGAAAACAATTTAGGAAGAGAGATCTCTTGATGTTGGCACCATCTTTTCCTATGATTAAGTCACTGATTACGTGACGAAACGCGTCGGGGGGGGGGGGTCACTAGACGTCATGACGCCCAGAAGTGTGAGTTTGGCTATTTTAGACACTGCTCCAGAAATATGCATTTTTAAGGGGACAATATACTATTGGGATGGAAATGTAAACAAGCAATCAATCTAGTGCAATGGATATTACAAGTGCATTGTACTTGTGAGTGTTTTTAATCTTCTTTTAATAAACAATATCAAGTTACTCTGGTACTGCACCATGAAATCTTTTATTTGTTTCATTTTTTGCATTGATTTGGCTGGAGTCTTGCAGTCTTAACCCCTTGACGCCGACGTCACATAAATATGCCACCTCACAGAACTGGGATTTTTTCAGTTTTTTCCATATTTGCGTACCTGTCTTTCTGCTGGGAGCGTGCCGCACGGCGCAAAGCACAAAGACCGCGGTATAGATGAATCAGAGTAACTTGCGAGCCACAGGTGTGATAATTACTAGAGGATCGCAAACATGAAACACATAACTACAACTGTGTTGGAAATATCTACAAATATATGTTGCGCTCCTAAATACTTCTCAATAAATAATAATTAAATTATTACCATTAAATTAATTCAAATAATGATACAAATAACTAATAAAAGTGTATAAATACCAAAAAATATTTAAATAGATAGTTTAAACTAATCAATCTCCTCCAAATAAATATCAAAATAATTCCACATGAAATACTCCTCTAAAAAATGTTTTTACCTAGTGCTCATAAATCATCTATTAGTGACATGATGTACTTACTAATACCCTCAATTTCATTTAAATTCATAATACCCTCATTTAATATAATACAAATAGTAAACCAATATTAAATATAATATTATATTAAATGAGGGTATTATGAATTTAAATGAAATTGAGGGTATTAGTAAGTACATCATGTCACTAATAGATGATTTATGAGCACTAGGTAAAAACATTTTTTAGTGGAGTATTTCATGTGGAATTATTTTGATATTTATATGGAGGAGATTGATTAGTTTAAACTAT